AGACAAACCACTTAACCTCTCTTCCTGCGTCTTTTCGAGAAATGCCATCCTCTTGCCCTGTCTTTGGGATAGTTAATATCAAAGGGATAGCAGGTAAGTGCTTTATAACCTTCCTAAATGGGTAAGTGAAATGAAAAATGCTGTTGTTGAGTCTTAGTGCTTAGGGTGTCAGGTGTCACCAGGGGAACTCAGCGAGCTCTGGAACCTTCTAGAACAGGATCTAATGCTCTCAACCTGCTCTATAGAGACCTCAGTTATGGGAGGGGAGGGGAACCAAAACGCCCAGAATCCCACACACCATGCCTCCCTCGCTGTGTGTTTAAAACAGTTTGTTCTGTGTTCTGCAGAGCAGTGAGTATGGGGAGGGAACTGCTTTTGCTTCAGAACCGAAGTGGGTGTATGAAATCTGTTCCTCTCCCCCGGCTGCACATTCTACGGAAGCCAAGTGCCAGAGGTGGTCAGAGACTGATCTGTAGAATCCCCACAGTACAGACGGAGCAGTGGTGAGAGGAGCTAAGTGCAGGAGCCTCTACGGTTGGGGCAGGAAGTGAGAAAGATGTGCAGGAGGTTGGAAGGATGGACTTTTAGGTATATCTGCTGCCAGGTCCTGGGATTGCGGCCAAACTCCCCATCACCTCCTGCCAGTCCCTAAAGTCACCTTAGAAAAACCCAGAGCTGGATGGGAGCTTTTTCAGTGCCTGCTTGTGCAGTTAGCTTCTGCAAATACCTCCTTGCTTCCATCCCCGCAAGGGGCGTGCATCCCTAAGGTCCTTGGGCCACAGTTGTTTTTGACGTTTAAGTTTCAGATGCCAGTAAGCACAGTGGCATGATGTAACTGTGTGAGGCCCGTGAAGACACTGACGATGGTTTCTCTCCAAGGCCTGGATTCATTCCTGTGAGGAAAGACAGCTCCTTCCTGTCTTCATGCAGTTCTCCCTGGGCTCAGAAGGAATGGTCTGGTTTGCAGGAGGAACCAGGGGTTTGAAACCAGGATGTCAGTGGCTGTGGGAGTAGTAGTTTTGGAGATAGGGGAAAGACGCCCTTGGGTTTCTGGTTGGGGCCCATGCGGTCTGAGGCTGTGGAGAGGGGTCAGGCATGAGTAGATGTGTCCCTGCTCCCAGCAGTTTATCCCCTGCTAACAGCAACCCGTGGGATGGTGGTCATTGTTCCCATCTTCAGGTGCGGAAAATCAGAACCAGAAAGGCCAAGTGCTGGCCAGCTGGTGCAGATCCAGGGCTTGAATGGAAGTCCAGTAGCCCCACAGCCTGTGATATTTCAACCACGAAGCTTGGCTGGTGCTCACATGGAGGGGACTGGGGAGTCTGAACTTAGTGTGGTGGTCCCTTGGGAGCCATCAGTGGTGACAGAGCAGGGGAGTGGCCTGGTTTGGACAATGTGCTAGGAATTTCAGCCAGGCAGTCACGCACGGGGCAGGGTGCTGAGATGCTCCAAGTCCAGAGTGTCAATCACCACCTTAGGAGGTGGGGCATGGCAGGAAGTGCAAAGGGTACTGACCAATGGGAAAAATAACAGGGACTTAGAATTTGCCGTGCACTTGATATTTAATGCATACTGCACTGGACGCCCCAATACCAGGAGAGTACTTAATTTTCAGACCTCATTGAGGAAGGACAGTAGAGCACAGGGCTGAAAAGCTTGGGTTCTCAAAGGCAGGCTAACCTGATTCACTTCCCATTGGCCCTGGAAGAGCCACTCTACCTCTGGGTTTGCTTCTTCATAAAAGGGGCACAGCTTAGCAAAGTGTTTGGAGGTGACATCACATGGGACAGGAGCCAGAGGTATTGAGTAATGTGACTCTTGTAGAGTAAGTACTCCTGGATGTTAACCACAGTAATTATTACCATGGCCACACCTACTTTCCAGACAAGGGAGCTCAGGCTTTAAAGTTGAATGATTTTTCCCAAGGTCACAGAATTAAAATTGGAATTGGTCCATCTGACCCCCAAAACTACACTGCTATCTATCCTGCAGAGAAGCTGCTGATGGGGATAGACTAGGAGGGTTAGGGGAGAGACTCACCTCGGGCTAAAGGATTGCAAGACAGGGGAGGGAATAGGGATGAAACAAAACAAACATTTTTTCCTCTTTCCCAGGTGACCTGTGGCAAACGGGCTCTGGGCAGGTGAATGGCTATCTCCATGATCATCTTTCCCCCTCAGCCATGCCCTCCCTTAGACATGGAGAGCCACATAAGACAGTGTTTTCTTACAGTACATAAAGCTCCTGGTGGATGCCCTAGTACATGGAGCCAGGGTGTTGCAGGGTCTCAGGATAGCAAGCTTAACCTCCGCCTTTCCAGCAGTACCAGTGATCCCAAAGAAGTGTGTGTGCATGTGTGCATGTGTGTGTTCTGTCTCCTACACCCTTTCCATTGGATTCCCACTCTGTGATGAGAACTTTGCTCCGTTCCTCAGTGACTCAGTGCAGGAAGATGCTGATGCACTGCCTTGGGCAGTCACCATGAGGCTTTGATGACCGGCGTCTTCAGAGGCATCATTGTTCTATGGGAATTACTGCTTTTCTTTTGTAATTAAGTTTGGAACATTTCGGTCCCATCCCAAGAGGCACCTGACAGTGTGTGGGATTGATGAATGCAGCTGCCGGTAGACTGTGTCTGTGCAGTCTTCTGTTGGTAGCTTCTTTATTTTGTCACCTTTTTGGGTATTTAATGATGTTCTCTGGACAATAGCTGAGGCATATAAGTCTTCTGTATTTTCTTCCTTATCAACAGGACCCACAGAGAGTTGTATAGAGGAAAGGTTCTCCAGTGTAGAAAGGTGATGATATTGAAAGTTTTGCTTTGTTTTGGATGAAACATTCAAGATCCATGCAAAACACAACTCAGATCCTGAATTCTTCCCTCTTCATTTTCTGTTTAAACCATAAACATTCCTCGTAGGCCTCACTCACACCATCATGTACTTAGATCTTTGTCATTGTCCATTTATCGATGTTTCATGAGCCAAGCCAGGTGCTGTGGGCAGAGAGACGAGAACAGCAAAGTCTCTGCCCTTGAGGCTCTCAGTCTTGTTGAGATGTGATTTAAAATGACTAATCAATTCAAGAACATTGAATTTCTCCAAAAGCTACTGTGGGGAAAAAGATAATTACCCAAAGTCTTTAAATCTGTTACCCACTTTAATTGATTTAATTAGGAAAAATTCATAGAACCATAATATTGAATGGAGCCCAGAAGGCATTTATTTATTCCTGTTACTTCTCTCTGCCTTTAGGCCAACACTGCATTCAAATTATCCCCCCAAATCCATGCATTTCAGAAAAGAGCAGTCATTTAATAAGAACTGTAGCTTTTGGCCCATTTAGATAAAGCTTTCGGTGAGCACCCAGAGGGAAAATGATGTAGACTTGTCGCAAGCGTTGATGTGCATGGCCACAAAGCACTGTTCTGAAAGACACAAATGGCATCAACCACCCTTGACACACACGTGTGCTCACACGTGCACTTGAGATGGAATCCCCATAAGCTATATCATTGACGTGTGCTAAATGCACATAGAAGACGCAGGATTCAAAATGAAAACATGGCTGTAATGTGATAAAGATCCTTGGAGAATTCTTTCAGCTCCCAGAAAAAAAGAAACGTGTCTCAGCATTTGTCAAGTCCTGTTTTGCTCTAACACGGAGGCATACCTTCTGTTTAGCTGGCGTTTTTGCATCACGCAGCCAGTCAACAACATGTTTGAAGCATCTGCTAGGAACAGAGCTCAGATGATCCCAGGAAGGCTGTGGTTGAGTGCTAGAAAGGGGACTGAATGCCGAGTCCCGGAACCAAAGCTCAGATGGCCACTTGCTGTGTGCCCGTGTTGAGCCTTGTTTCCCCTGGCCAACAGTACCAAGCCCCTGAGATCATCTGTGGGATTTGGGGAGTTATGGGATATGAAAGTATCTATGAGTTGTGCAATTGTGTCATAACGTGCCTATTCTAAGTGGAAATTTGTTCTCATGATCACAGATTGGTAGAGACATTAGGGCTAATGGCCCTTCAACACCTTGCCACTTTCCGGCATAAGGGCACTCAGTGGCTCCCCCCATGGAGTCTAACCCTGTGGACACAGCCCTGTGTGCAGGGATCCTGGCAAGATCTTCAACATCATTTCATCCCCACTGCTTCATCAACCATAATGCATTTATCTGCAGTCCCTGGAACAGTCAAAGTGGACCCCAAGACACCTCCGTCTGTAATGTCCACCTTATCCCCTCTTGCTCACCTGAATACTCCTTTGAGAATCTCTTCTCTCTCAGTCCTCAGTTCACAGGAATTGCTCTTCCTCAAGTTCCCATCAGATCTATGAAGATATGAAAGTCAGCGTCTGACCTGTGTATCTCTGTTTCCCCCAAGGTCTAAAGTGGTGTTGCACCTAGTAAGGAACTCAATAAATACTTGCTGAGTGGATAGATGTTCACATAGCATTTTTATACTCTCTATTAGACAGGAATCTTGAGTTCAAGTATTCAGACTGGCTTATGGGAACATGGGAATTTATTGGCTGATATAAACAACAGGCCCAGGGTACGTGGCCTCAGGCTGAGAAGACGGGGAGAGGGAAGGCTGCAACAGTAGGTCACCAGGAATCTGTTTCTACTTCCTGATGGCGTCTTATGTATGTTAGCTTCATTGCTCCATCGTGAACCTGGGGACCAGATAGATTTGTCTGTTGCAACCATGTACACTCAAAGGGAAGGAGGGAGGGGCCAAGACGAAGAGATGATGGGCAAGCAAAATGGCAGATGTCCTTTCCTGCAGTAGACAGGGATTTTCCTCATCTCTGTGTTTCTGGCATCTACTTTGGAGCCCAGCATTCAGTAGGTGCTTAGCAGTGTTTTTGAGCAAATAGATGTGTGCTTTATTTTCCCTTATTTCCAGGTAGAAACTTCTTTAATTCCCTAAAGACAGATGGTTCTGTATAAACTGCCTTCTGCCTCATGCCGTGTTTTGCTTTCTTTTTGCCCGTCGGCAGGATCCCACGTCTACTTTCTTCCAGTTTGGAGCGTCCATCCAGCAGCAGGCCACGGTCATGCTGAAGATCATGCAGGATTACGACTGGCACGTCTTCTCCCTGGTGACCACCATCTTCCCCGGCTACAGGGACTTCATCAGCTTCATCAAAACCACCGTGGACAACAGCTTTGTGGGCTGGGACATGCAGAACGTGATCACGCTGGACACCTCCTTCGAGGACGCCAAGACGCAAGTGCAGCTGAAGAAGATCCACTCCTCTGTCATCCTGCTCTACTGTTCCAAAGACGAGGCCGTTCTCATCCTGAGTGAGGCCCGCTCGCTTGGCCTCACCGGCTATGACTTCTTCTGGATTGTCCCCAGCCTGGTTTCTGGAAATACAGAACTCATCCCCAAAGAGTTTCCCTCAGGACTCATTTCGGTCTCCTACGATGACTGGGACTACAGCCTGGAGGCCAGAGTGAGGGACGGTCTCGGCATCCTAACCACAGCTGCGTCTTCCATGTTGGACAAGTTCTCCTACATCCCTGAGGCCAAGGCCAGCTGCTATGGGCAGACGGAGAAGCCGGAGGCCCCACTGCACACGCTACACCAGTAAGAGAGAGCTCTTTGCTTGTCCCCTAAAGTGGGATCACAGTTTTGAGGTCGCTTGTTTAGATGGTCGTTGATGGAAATACGCACTGAAAACAGATCAGGTTATGTGTGTGCATTTGGGATTTCTGTTGTGTTTAGTTTCACTCTGCTTTCCTCTCTTCCTCTCTTCTCAACTCCTTTCACTTTTAAGATAAATAATATTATATTTCAAAAAAATTACATTTTTAACAATGTATTCTAAAAACTGACAAATGGAATGCTCTCTCTCCCTCTCTCTCCCTCCCTCCCCCTCTCTCTCCCTCCCTCTCCCTCTCTCTCCCTCTCTCCATCTCTCCCTCTCTCCATCTCTCCCTCTCTCCCTCTCCCTCTCTCCCTCCCTCTCCCTCCCTCTCCCTCTCTCCCTCCCTCTCCCTCCCTCTCCCTCTCTCTCCCTCTCTCTCCCTCTCTCTCCCTCTCTCTCCCTCTCCCTCCCTCTCTCCCTCCCTCTCCCTCTCTCTCCCTCTCTCCATCTCTCCCTCTCTCCCTCTCTCTCCCTCTCTCCATCTCTCCCTCTCTCCCTCTCTCTCCCTCTCTCCCTCTCTCCCTCTCTCCCTCTCTCTCCCTCTCTCTCCCTCTCTCTCCCTCTCTCTCCCTCTCTCTCCCTCTCTCTCCCTCTCTCCCTCTCCCTCCCTCTCTCCCTCCCTCTCCCTCT